ATCTAGGGGACATACATGGATGACATCTATGACGTTGTCCGGCTCCTCGGTCGAGGCAAGGGTGTGTCTCTCTTCTGGCCTGGGCTCTATGTATTCTTTCAAGTATCCGTCTCAGACCAATTTTTCCAAGAACGATTTGTATACCCTGCAGCTTTCGGTGCGATGTCCGAAATCCCGGTGATAGAAACACCTAACCTTTTGATCACGGGTGGAGGGATCGTTCTGCATCCTGGGCGGCCAGTTGAAGAACGGCTCATGCTTGATTTTATGAAGCAACTTGAAGATGGGTTCCTTGAACATAGTATGAACCCCTTTGGACGAACTCCCTGGAGGGGGTAGCAATCCCTTTCGGGGAGTATGTTCCCGCTCCCTCTCCTTTCTCTTGGATTGGAGGGTTCGGCCTTTGCTGCTTCCCATCTCGTCCTCGATCCTTGAGTATTTGTTTATCCGGGCCATCAGCTCGCCCATATCCGAGGGAGTCTTCTTGGTCAGGGATCGGTACAGGTCCGTGTCCCTCGCCAAGCCGAGTCTGAAAGACGCCGCTGTCATGACTTCCGAGCAGCCTTCTACCCCATTTACCTCTTCCCAGTATTGGATGGCATACTGGCGAAGGGTCTCGAATTCCCTACGTCTGAGTGTTAGCAATGATCCAACGTCTTTGGGCCTCTTACTCCCCGTAATGAATTGAGTCAGGAACTGCCTCGTCAATTCCTTCCACGATCCAATACTGTTGGGGGGAAGCGCCTCGAACCACTTCATCGCAGAGTCCCCCCAAGCTCATTGGAAATACTCGGCAGAGGAACCGTTGGTCCGAATGATAGAGGGACATCATTTGCTTGTATTGCCTGAGATGGGCTTCGAGATCGGACCGCCCGTCATAAGTTTTGAACCTCGGCACGACAAACTTTCTTGAAACCTCCATCTCTCCGATCTCCCTNGTCCGAATGATAGAGGGACATCATTTGCTTGTATTGCCTGAGATGGGCTTCGAGATCGGACCGCCCGTCATAAGTTTTGAACCTCGGCACGACAAACTTTCTTGAAATCTTCATCTCTCCGATCTCCCTGGTAAAGGGTGTTTGTATGACCTCGTCTTTGACCTCATCCTGGACAGCCTTACTCTTTCTCCTGGATTCCAACCGGACTCTGAGATCAATTTCCTCCCCAACGGGATGTCTTCTGAAGTCTTTGAGTTCATCAATAGGCCCCCCATTTCCTGGGCGNACTCTTTCTCCTGGATTCCAACCGGACTCTGAGATCAATTTCCTCCCTGACGGGATGTCTTCTAAAGTCTTTGAGTTCATCAATAGGCCCCCCATTTCCTGGGCGCCTTGTGGATTGGGTAGAATCCTCCTCAGACTCATCTCCCTTCCTCCGTCTAGACAATCCTCGCCGGAGGTCGTCCAGGGCTAATGGCCTTGCCTTCCTTGAATGGTCGTTAGGAGGGTGCTCGTTGGCTCTCGGTCGCTTTGGGGCCCTGGAGCTTTCTGCCTTGTTGTTTAGATGATTTCTTAGATCCTTCGTTTCTGCCTCCCGGGCAGGGAGCCCACGAGAGAGAAATGAGTCCCTCGAGCCTTCGCCAGAGGCGGCAAATTCGTTGAGCCAGCTTAGGACGTTTACATTGTCCTTTTCCAACTGTCATAATCTATCGCCAAACTTTTCTTCGATCACCTCCACCAGCTGACGAGCCAGGGGGGCTGATCCTCTTGACTTGATTCCCATACTGGTTTGAGGGGTAACCCCTCTTAACTGAGTAGAGGCATTTTTATTCCCATCAGTGTGATCCCTTCCTCCGTGGTGACAGGGAGCTTGTAATTCGAGACTTCTTTGGTGAGGACCTTTCCCTTTTTGTCGAATGTTCACCGTGGTCACTGTTCTTTATAGAGAAAAAACTAGGAAAACTAGTCGTTTCCCACAGACAGCGCCAGATTGTGTGTATTAGATCTTGCACAATATAAAAATGAGAACATATCTCTCCCTTGGTGAACTCGAGTGAGTCAGTTGAGTGGTCAACCACGCTGCTTGGAACAGCCTGTGAGATCTGGTGGTAACCTGAAACGGTAATGGGAGACCCTCGCGGATCAAAGGAATGATTCAGTAAGGCTGAAGAAAGGTTCCTGGAACAAAGAAGAACAAGTTAGAAGGGCGCCGGAGTATTTTTCGGCGTATCCCCTCCGACGATCAAGTCAGTTTGTGAGAGAGAGGAAGAAGAAAACACTGAGTATAATTTGTAGCAAAAGTTTCACCTCCTGTTCTTGCCTTTAGTGAGGAGTATTTATACCTCAAATACTCATGATTGTTGTTAGTGTGGTCAGTAGGTGATCATTAGATACAGGCAACGTGCGCACTGATTCCTATAAGGAATGTCTTCTCTCTTAACTGCTCGGGACCCCNTAGATACAGGCAACGTGCGCACTGATTCCTATGAGGAATGTCTTCTCTCTAAATTGTTCGGGACCCCGAACAATCAAGTTTGTGTCATCGGCTTGCCGACGGTTCAATGAGCTCCTCTCGGGGAGGATGCAATAAATGCCCAGCCTTAGAGACATTTATTGCCTTTCACTTCTGAGCCTTACCGCATTGAATGCAGTCTCATCAAGGGAATGGTGTAATAAAATGCTTGTTTTTCCAAGTCGCGTGTCAGCAAGGTCATGCAGTCTTTCTGTCTCTGATGTGACACAATATGCCACGCGTCCATTCCTCATTGGCTGTGGNTGTTTTTCCAAGTCGCGTGTCAGCAAGGTCATGCAGTCTTTCTGTCTCTGATGTGACACAATATGCCACGCGTCCATTTCTCATTGGCTGTGGCCCCTGCCTTCCTGTGCCTTTCGACACCAATTGTGTAAGACGATGTCATGATAGCTAACCTAGCTTAGCCTAAGCTAGTGACCAGTGCATCAATAACCTCTGCTGGAGCAGAGAACTTCATCATGGATGAGAGGGGGACATCTCGGTACCGAGGAAGAGGTACATCTCGNGACCAGTGCATCAATAACCTCTGCTGGAGCAGAGAACTTCATCATGGATGAGAGGGGGTACATCTCGATACTAAGGAAGAGGTACATCTCGGAACCGAGAGGGGGAGGGCTAGCGACCGATGTACCATATTAGACCGAGGGTACGTGTCGGTTCATAAAAACGTACTGGATGCCACTCGATCCCATGATAAGTACCTCGGGGTAGAGGGGACTTGTGACCCGATGGGTACGTGATCTCGATAACAAGGATCAGTGACACCGAGGACACGTGTCTTCATCTTGGAGTATTCCAGAAATGTCCCATCAACTGCCCCCCAGCCTTCGATCTTCTGACACCGAGGACACGCGTTGTAAGGAGACGAAGGGTTTTGCAACAACCCCAACTGCTTCATCATTGCCCCTAGCCGTTTTCCCTGCTTAGGATGTCGTGCNTGACCCGATGGGTACGTGATCTCAATAACAAGGATCTGTGACACTGAGGACACGTGTTTTCATCTTGGAATATTTCAAAAATGTCCCATCAATAATGTATATCTATCTTAATGTAATAAGAAAAAGAGTTCAAAAGGACGACATTATACAATTTTGAACGGTGGGCATAATACAATCCACAAATAAAAAATCATAAGAGATCACATTATCGTCAAATAGTTTACGCTTAGCTGGTTATATATAAAAATTAATAATATTACCACAAACTCAGAGCGAAAAATAAATTAATCAGATACAAGTCTTTTTTAGTGATAACAATAACAACAAGTTTGATGATCCAAGCAAAATGTCGTCCTTTACTCTATTTCTTCTTAACGTTAAAAATTATGGAATGGAAAAAGCAACTCTTTCATAAAAGATCATCTTATACTCGATTCATTTCTAAAGTATGAAATGAGGAGATAGACGCCTTACTAAAAGATCATAATTCATAAATTGATACGTACTCCATTATACATAAAAGTATTTGATAAACACTTTGTACCTCCTCTTCTCAAGCCGGGAAATCAAACGGCAAAGGCGAGACAGAGGAAGAATCCAGTAGGCCCTGGTGCATAAACCCATAATTGCGAAGCACCTGATTATCAGCGAAGTTCAAAGCCATCTTCATCGCTTCCCAGCAACTGTGCCCGGAATACATCTGGTTGTGGTCCCCACTACATGGCTGACACCCCGTGAAGTGTGTGATAAACGGCCGTCTCCAACTACCCTTCCCGTTCCCGGCGTCTTTAAGATATTCCTCCCACTGCGCACCATAGCTCTCGCTCACCTTCTCAGCATGCCGCCTCCTTAACCTGCGCACCCCTTTTTCTATCGTCGCATACTTGTCGGTGATATTCTCAAGCGTCCCAACAATCTCCAACCAGTACCCTTCAAAATAGTACTCGCCCTCTAAGTAAACCTTATCGCCCCATTTATCTCTCTCTTTCAACAGTAAATAAACCAGACCCGATTGATCATCTGATTCCGGGAACATCTTGTCGTTCAACGTTGATCGGAGGATTTTACCCCATCGATCGTACTTTGGGGTTTGTGGGCCCATGCTGGCCCACACTTCCATGAAGTCCAACGACCACTGGCAATTCCGGATCAAGAGCACGCCGGCGTTGATGCTAGTCCAGCTCTTCTTGTCGTAGATCAAGTGGGACCAACCGTGGACGACGAGGTTGTGGTTTCTGTATCGGTCTAACGGGAGTTTAAAGTCCATGTCGGTGAAGGCAGCGTCCGAGTCGACCCACCAGATCCACTCAGCTTCCGGGTGAGCCACCATGGCGGCTCGGACCACTGGTATTTTCGCCCAATATGAGAACATTTTCGGTTGTAACAACACGTTGTTGTAGAAAATGTCGTAGCCGTGGATTCGACAGTAGTCAACCTTGTTCTTGAAAAACCTCAGCAGTAAATTATCGCCAATTGGGTTTCTACACGGCGAAGGTTGGGAACCTGACACCATTAGGACTCGTTCGTCTGCTCCGGCGGCGAATGATTGATGGTGTTTCAGCCACTCTTTTCTCTTCTCGTCCCAGTTTCTAATGGGCTCTCCTATAGTGTAGCTTAGTTTGGGGTCGTCGTAGAACGTCCGCTCAGGTGGGTCGTAGAACGTCCGCTCAGGTGGGTCGTAGTGCAGGTTGGAACCATGCGCATCGACGGCGTACTTTGGTGGTGAGACGTTCACGTTTTCTGAGGCAACTCTGGGTTTAGACTCGGTGACTCCAGTTGAGAAACTGTGGTTAGGGTCAGGGCTTGGGCTTATGAAGGACCCAAGAGCCCAAACAAATAGGAGAGCCACCATAGCTCCACCAACGAAGAGGAAGCCGTCGGAGAGAAGCGACGAAGATTTGTCTCGTCCATTTTGCTTAGTCATGGAGGTTGTTTGAAACTGAGAAAGCTCCGGCAACTTCATTTCAAAGAAGACAGTCTTTCGGTGAGTGAGTCGTGTTTAGTTCTAGTAGCGAAGCTATTATATACATCGCCATCTTTTATGTACAGTTGAGGTTTTGCATCTCTATCACACGATTAAATTAGAGGAGACGATTTGGCAGGAACAGAGAAAGAAAGATGGGAGCGTCGGTGGTGAAAGTGAGTGTAGCACTTGAACTGGTGATGATGGGCAACTTTTATGGTGCGGTTGTAAGAGCATCTCCATCAAGTTTTGTATTTTAGTCGGGGTTAATTGCACTAAGGTCTCCGATGTATGAGATTTTTTTTTATTTTGGTCTTAAATATTTTAATTATATTATTTTAATCTTCAAAATATTAAATATATTTTTATGTAATTTTTCAAACAAACAATATTCAGATTATTAATAATTTTTTATTGTAAATTTATCATGTAATACCTAAATATGAGTAAAAAAATAATTTAGATAACTCTAAAACACATTTTTACCCAAATTATGATCAAATAGTTATCCAATTACACAATTTTGATATTAAATTATTCAAATTTTGGTCAAGAGGTACTCATATTATATATTTTTGATCAAGAGCTATCTAAACGATTTTTTACCTATATTTACATATTACATGATAAGTTTATGATAAAAAATTATTAGCAATTTAAATATTGTTTGCTTGAAAGATTATATAAAAATATATTCAATACTTTAGAGATTAAAATGACGTAATTGAAATATTAAGGAGTAAAATCAGACAAACTCTATTCTTTGAGGACATCTGGTGCAATTAACTTTTTTTTGGTTATCTAAAAGTTTATTTATTTATTTTTTTGTTATTCATTTTTTTAATAATTTCTTTATATTTTTAATTGCTTTCTCGAAATATTATTTTTTAACTATTATATTTCAACTATCATTTTCAACACCTAAATTTCTCCAACAACTACATTTTTTAACTTCATTTATTTAATGGCGATAAAAAATATTGTAAAATATCAAATTATCCAAAATATTGTTAAGATCTTGTAAAATATTTAAACACATTTAATTAAAGAGCATCTTTTTTTATTTCTCATTTTTTATTAAAAATATGAAAATTTTAAAGAAGAGTAGAGAGAAAATATTGAATATTGAATATTATACAATAATGAATATGTAAATAGCAAAGTATTATAAAATATTCGTTTAAAGAGAAGCAGAGAGAGAATATAATAAATTATTTATGCATGATGCTACACTGACATTATAAATTATTTTATATTTAGAGTGTCAGTATAACAAAATTGTCTTTTAGTTACTCTAAACATTTTCTATTGGAACCTCACTTGTATCATTAGATAGATAAATTTTAATCATTTTAAAGTTTTACGTGATCGATTGGAAATGCTCTAAGGAACAACAATTGAGTAGAAGTGTAGTCAATATATACAGAAATAAACTATAAATTAAAAAAAAATTGACAATTCTCTTAGGTTCAAATATAAAGAAATTTATCCTTCATAATTTTTACATGAATAGTTTGTTTTTTTATTAAATTAAAAAAATTTAATTGAGTTCCACACAAATAATCTAGAATCTAAATTCTAGACACATCCCCACTTCAATACCAAAAAACATAGTAAGAGTTGATGGATAAGTTGATATATTGACCTATGGGTGTGCACCGACACCTTGTTGGGCTTGATTTCACTGATGCTGTTAGAACATTGCACCATGTTGGGCTTGATTTCACTGATGTTATTAGAACATACTTCTAGAACTTTAGCATTGCCTTTAAAGTTTGGTTCGAGGCTAATGAAATTGTAATTTAAATTTAATTTGTGGACTTTTTATGGTAAGTAAATATTTATTTGTTCATACTTACAAAAAGTGTACATGACTATAAGTATGATGTTTTTTTTATCATAGTTATTGAATTAGTAAAAAGCCTCAATCAAACCCTTAGAGATGATTTAGTAATTGACATCNTCACCATCCACGTTGAGATGCCAGTGCCAACAGAATTCTGATTGTATCCCATCGTGCTACTGGCGTATACACTTCATTGTAGTCTACTCCTGCTTTTTGTGAATATCCCTTGGCGACGAGTCTAGCTTTACATTTGTCTACTTTGCCTTCTTCATTTAATTTCGTTTTAAAAACCCATTTGACACCAATTTTCTTTGCTCGATGTGGCAATGGCACAAGCTCCCAGGTCTGATTTCTCTCAATAGCTTGAATTTCAAGCTTCATGGCCTCCTGCCACCTTTTTTCTTTCACCGTTTCGTCAAAGTTTATTGGGTCATTGTTGGAGATGTGAAAAGCTAAGCTTTCATCTGATTCTTCTTCTTCAGATAAGCGTTCACCAGTTTCATAGTCGCGCATCCAAACGAGCTCTCTCCTTCTTCTTGTCTGTTGTGGAAATTCTGGTGAAAATTCCTCAGTTTCTGGAATTGCTTCTAAACTGCCGTTTTCTACTTCATTAGGTTCTCCATCAGTCTCTTCTCCTTCAGACTCTTCTGTGGCAATATCATCATCGTCTCCCCAAGCCAACACATTCTGCTCTGCCTCTGTTGTACTCAGGTTCCAATCCCATTTTCCACCTTCTTCGAATATGACATCTCTGCTTATGATTATTTTCTTTGTCATCGGATCATACAAACGATAGGCTTTAGATTCGTCACTAACTCCAAGCAAGATGCATTTGTGACTTCGATCATCAAGCTTTATTCTCTTTTGTTCAGGGACGTGCACATGTGCAATCGAACCGAATACTCTGAAGTATNTCACATCAAAAGCAGTTAATGGCTGACCTGTTGACAAAAGGCATAGCTCTTCCCCGTCCTCTAAGGTGACTTCTTCCTCTCTGAAATGTCCCTCTACCTCTTCCTTATGCATTCCTTGGCTCATTCTCCACCTGTAGAACTTGCTCTTCACTCCTCTTCTCAATCACCTTTTGTTCATGTACAAGCAAAGATGCTTGTAATTCATCTACTATGAGTTTGTCAATGTCTTTGGATTTCTCAATTGAGCATACTACGAAGTTGAATTTTTCTGTGAGACTCCGAAGTATTTTCNGATTTCGGCATCTCTTTCTCAGACAACAGACATCGTACCATGTTCATGATGGTCCGATTCCTTCTTTCTGCGNATGAGTTTGTCAATGTCTTTGGATTTCTCAATTGAGCATACTACGAAGTTGAATTTTTCTGTGAGACTCCGAAGTATTTTCTCAACGATTTTGACATCGGGCATATCTTCTTCGCAATTCCTCATGTCATTAGCAGTAGACATAACTCTTGCAAAATACTCAGACACACCTTCTCCTGACTTCATTTCTAGAGTTTCAAATGTTCTGCGNTTGTGGAGTGTAAGCTGTTGTTAGTTGTCGTCTTATGCCATTATCTTTGCAGAATTTGTTGAATTCATTTGATGTGAATTCTCCTCCCTTGTCAATTCTGAATCCACATATGGCTGTNGGTTGCAGCTGAGCCCGCTTCACTCTAGCACTTCCTTGATACTTAACTTTCATTGAATCCCACAATTTCTTGGCAGTCTCCTTCTGAGTGATGGTTTTCAAGATACTCTTATCTATGGATTGAAANTTGTCAATTCTGAATCCACATATGGCTGTTTTTGCTTCTTTTTCAGCAAGGTTTTTGAAGTTTTTGAATGTTTCAAAAACTTCTGATTTATCTGCAAGAAAATAAATCCATGTTTTCCGAGAGAAATCATCTACAAGCACCAACAAATACCTCTTACCACTGTGGGAGATTGGAGTGATTGGTCCACAAAGATCTCCATGAATTAATTCCAATNACTCCAATATTCCTTAGAACGCAGGAGATTTTCCATAATCAAACTCCAGTGATCGTAGTCTTCGTCGAATNTCACCAACAAATACCTCTTACCACTGTGGGAGATTGGAGTGATTGATCCACAAAGATCTCCATGAATTAATTCCAATTTATTTGATGCTCTCCACTTGCTTTTCTTTGAAAATTTTTGTCGTTGCTGCTTTCCCACATTGCATATTTTGCAAACTTTATCTGCTTCTTTTAATTTTGGCAGTCCTTTCACCNAGTTGTCATTTCCTGCTTTCGTGTTTTTTCTCTCAAACACTCAAATTGTATGTTTCTTTTATCAGGTCCTTGCTCGCTCTGATACCNAAAATTTTTGTCGTTGCTGCTTTCCCACATTGCATATTTTGCAAACTTTATCTGCTTCTTTTAATTTTGGCAGTCCTTTCACCATTTGTTTCTGCTGCATAATTTGCATAGACTTGTTGTTTAAGTGCCCATATCTCCTGTGCCAGAGAATCTCCAAGTCTTCTTCTTCCATCTTCAAGCAGTTACTTGGCAACGGCTTCATCTTCGCATAAACCAGGAACATGCGATTTGTAGTCATTTGTGTGTTTATTATCATGCCCCTTTGTTGATGATAGATTCTGCAGGTTCCTTCTTTAATTAAGATCACCAAACGCTTCTCCTGTAGCTGGCCTATGCTTAGCAAATTGTTGGTGAGATTGGGAACATAGTACACATTTGACACGGTTTGTGTGATACCTTCTACTTCAAATCTGACGCTGCCTTTTCCTTCAACTGCCATTTTCGAACTATTTCCCAATCTGACAGAGTGTTTGAAATTTTCATCGAGCTCAATAAACCAGGTTTTGTCTCCTGTCATATGATTTGAGCACCCGGAATCGAGAAACCAAATGCCCTTTCCTTCAGCTTTACTGACTTCTGTGTGCGCCATCAAGAGTAGTTCTTCCTCCTCGTCAAATTCAGCATAGTTGACGACTCCCTTTTCTGAGCTTGAGCATTCAAATTGATAATGTCCTTGCTTTCCACATCGAAAGCAGTTAATGGCTGACCTGTTGACAAAAGGCCTAGCTCTTCCCCGTCCTCTAAGGTGACTTCTTCCTCTCTGAAATGTCCCTCTGCCTCTTCCTTGTGCATTCCTTGGCTCATTCTCCACCTGTAGAACTTGCTCTTCACTCCTCTTCTCAATCACCTTTTGTTCA